TTCTATTCTATTCTATTCTATTCTATTCTATTCTATTCCATTCTATTCTATTCCTCATTCTTCACTAAATTCTTAACTAAACATAAGTCTAAACTCTAAGTCATGTGATATGCTCCCACTTTTTAGTGTACATACGAAATCAGAGTAGAAGATCACTCTCTTCTACAGAAACCTGAGTATATGTGGATTTGGATTGTCCATCTGTTTGGGACATCTGTTTGCATCATTAAAACTGAAGTAAATTGAAGAGAACAACGAGTAACAAAATGTTTATATTATATGCTCATTTATTTGTTGCAGGGTACCATATATGTGTTCATGCCCTGCAGAAAAGCTGATCTTAGTTATCTTTTAAGCATTATTGGAAAGGGAACTTCATCAAGAAAACAAAAAATGTCAGTGAAAAGTGAATCTCTGCGCATTTTGCATCCAGATTTTGTGAGATACATCCATAAAATGTAAGTATCAGTCTAGTGTCTTTTCTGGTCACGTGTACCATACATGTGTGAGGTACAAAAATTAAATTAAATTCAATTCCGATCCCCAGCCCACCAGCCCAGGACTACATATCCGTGTGTAAATCAGGACCAGATGTCCCAAGCCTCACCAGCCTAGGAATACATATCTGTGTGTAAATCAGGACCAGATGTCCCAAGCCTCACCAGCCCAGGACTACATATCTGTGTGTAAATCAGAACCAGATATCCCAAGCCACACCAGCCCAGAAATACATATCTGTGTGTAAATCAGAACCAGATATTCCAAGCCACACCAGCCTAGGAATATATATCTGTGTATAAATCAGAACCAGATATTCCAAGCCACTAACAGCCTAGGAATATATATCTGTGTGTAAATCAGAACCAGATATCCCGAGCCACATCACCCCAGGAATACATATATGTGTGTAAATCAGAACCAGATATTCCAGCCACACCAGCCTAGATATATATCTGTATGTAAATCAGAACCAGATATCCCAAGCCCTACCAGCCTAGGA